TGACAATGAATAAGAAAGACATAAGAAGAGTTAATGTATTTGAGTAGTAGTGTTGGAGAAGAGCACCTAAGCCAGCATTTGCTAGTTTAAACAGTTGTTGAAAAAAGGGCCTTAAAAGGGACTTTAGAAACTGATTCAATTTCTTCATATTTCAAAATAGGAAATTAATATTAACTGGCTGTTTAAAGTCATGGGCAGAGGTTATAAAGAACTAAAGTAATGGCCAGTACTCTCTCTTCCTTAGAGCACTGTTATGAAAAGAATGGTGTGCAGATTCTTGCTGGTCTGCAAAGACATTAAGAGAAGAAAAAGGATATAAAACAAACAAAAAAAGGAATAACTCAAAATAGCAGTATATTGCTATTAGTTTCATAATACTTTTATAAAATATTGACCCACAAAGGATTGAAAATTAAGACAAACCAACAAAAGCCAAGCTGCGTTTGCACTCCAATTTGAGAAGTCCTGCCTTAGATTACACTGCTAGGAAAACGGAAACAAATCATTATTTGTAGTTCTCATGTAAGGCTAAACAGGGGTAACATTTTCATTCAAAGTAAGCTTCTTTTCTTTGGTCTTCTCATTTTAACCATTACACAATTAAAAACAGGAAAAATTTCAGCAGTTAATAAAAGTCAGCAGGAGAAATTAGTGCATGATTGGAAAAATCTACATTGCAAGAATTCACTATGAAAAACAAACACCCTGCACATTAAATGCAGACTTCCTGTGGTGATAAGCCCTGAAGTTAAGACCTCATTACTTCCACAATAACAGTCCTAGAATCAACAAATCTGAAGCAGTTCAGACTCAGAATTCTGTGAAGATAAACAAGCAAACACACAAAAATGATTTTAAAATTCCTATGGGATTCAGACTTTCTGGAGTCATGGGGGCTAGACCCCAAACTACTGCTCTGACAATCTTTAAAACCAATCATGGATTTAAGCATTCAGGCAAGCTATCACCTAATTTAAGTATAGTTCTAGCAGTGTTTCTAATAGACAATGTAGGGTTCTCTCAAAAAAGTTTAGAGATTAGAATAACTCGAGAACATACAAAGTTTAGTAAGAAGAAAAAAAATCATACATAATAGACTTAAGTGGAATTCTGAGTTAATCATTTAACTATATACATAACAAAACTAAAATATGACAAAAATAGGAGCTGAAATGATCTCATTTGAGAGAGGAGGTTGAGGGTAACAGAATGTACTTCAAATCTCAGATAAGCATCTGTGTATAGACACACACACACAGTGGAAAAGATACTAACAAAATGCCCAGCTATCAAAAAAACTATATTCTACCTAAATTAACATAATGATAGGGTTTTAGAAAGGGTCTATTTTGTTGGTGGCAATTTTTTTTTAAACAGAGGAGCAGAAGAAACACTACGGAAACTCAGATTTCTGTGTCAGTTATTAAAAGAAAAATGCAAAAGAATATATCACAGAAAACAACCTTCTAAATAAACTCATTTTAAAAACCGTGATTTTAAAGCCATTTCTAAGAACTTTATAGACAAAAGTTACAGAAATTAGTTTATCTAGATACCATCTTCCCAATTTTACCCACCGCCACGGAGTTAATTTTCACTCACCCTTCATTTGGGTTTCTGAGGCTATATATCTTTACAGGAAGAGACTGCCCATCTTTCTCCTGAAGAGTGTCTGGTGGACTCAATAGCAGGCTATTTGGTTAACAGCTTAACACATCATCACTGCATCAGCATAGCTCCTTCTCACTAAATTACATAACTCATTGCTGTCAAGTCAGAACCTACTCGTGACTGATGCTCCAGCAGGTTTTAGCGGCCATAAATTTTGAGGGAAGAGACTGCCCATCTTCTTCCCTCAAAACAGCAAGTGGACTTGAACCACAGGCCTTTGGATTGGTAGCACAGCTCTTCACACACTAGGGCACCAAAATTCCCTTCCACTAAACTGTTGTTGTTGTGTGCCATCAAGTCAGAACTGACTCATATCTGACCCTCCAGTAGGTTTTCAGAGGCAGGTAATCACACTATAGGAGATTGCCCATCTTTTTCCCATGAAGCAGCTAGTGGACTCAAACCACATGTCTTTGGTATTGCTGTGCAGCCACTAGAGCTCCTTAGATTAGGGGCTTGCAAACTGGCCTGTAAAGTTTGGCCCAACACCTACTTTTGGGTTTTGTTTTGTTTTAAACTTTTTATTGCAATCTGGATGAAAGTTTACAAAATGAACTAGCTGGCACTGAACACAACTACCTACAGTGGTACAGTACTCATCCTATTTCTCCTACAGTGTTACAGTACTCATCCCATTTCTCCTACAGTGTTACAGTACTCATCCCATTTCTCCTTGTATTTACTTACCATTTGCACTCATTCATTCTTTCCTAGCCTTTCCTGCCCTCAAAGGGGGCATCAGCAAAATGCTGCCCTTTAATTTCATATTTGTCTTTTTCACAGAGTCTATGCCTTCCTGGTTATTACTCATTGTATAAGCCTGCTACGGTTTGGCTGAGGGAGCTCTGGCGACTGCTGTTTGTTGCACTGCTAACCCAAAGGTTGTGCATCTCTGGTGATTCAAATCTACCTGTGGCTCCTCAGAAGAAAGATGTGAAACCTGTTCCCACTGCATTTATAGCTTCACTGGATAGATGGTGAAAAGTCAGTATTAACTCCATGTCAGTGAATGAGTGGTTGAGTGAGTGAGTGCTTAAAAGCAGAGTCAAGACTTAGTTTAAAGGGTAATTAAGGGCCATAGTCTTGGGAGCTCCACCATCTCTATCAATCAAGCAAGTTTGGTTTCTTTTAATATAATATTTTGAGCTTTATACCACATTTTTGCCCACTCCAGGACTTCCTATGGCAGTCCCTTTTAGAGCAGTCAGCTTCCACCAACTGCATAATGAATAAAAAAAAAATGGAATGCTTCATGAATGTGCATGTCATCCTTGCACAGGGACCATGTTAACCTTCTCTGTATTGTTCCAATTCCAGTATATGTGCTGCTGAAGCGAGCACCTGTATACCATTTTTATACTTTAGATTTTATTAGAGCATAGCCATGTCTGTTAATTCACATGTGTATGTTTATTTTTGCTACTGCAAGAGAAGTTATATGACTCACCATGTATATCAAGCATACTATCTGGCCCTGTTCAAAAAAACAACAAAAAACGGGCGCCGATTCCTTTTCTCAATCACTACAACACTGCAGAAGTGACGTGAAAAGTAGTTGTGCTGCCAAGTCAAAGGCACATGGTTCGAATCCACCAGATGCTCTGCAGGAAAAGATGAGCAATCTACTCTCATGAGATTTACTGCTTCTGAAAACCTGCTGAAGGGTCAGTTACGGGTAGCTTCCAACTTAACGGTACAAAGCAACACAATATTTGCTTTTTAAGGGAACTCTAGCGGTACAACTAATAGAGAGGTGCACTGCTGATCTAAAGGCCATGCTTCTTTGGCGGTTTGAATCAACTCACAGTTCCCTAGGACAAAGGGTAATCTCATCTTGTGCAATTTACAGCTTCAGAAGCTAAATGCAGGGTCACTATGAGGTGGTCCTGACTTGACATCAATGAGTGTATGAGTAAATGATTTTCTTTTTAAGAGGAAAGGAAAGATGATTTGGATTAAGACGTACAGTACTTTCTAATGATCTTAGAAGTATTTACTAGCAACAACAACTAGTTTTTTCTAAATGTGTGCTTCTGCTATGGTGAAAATATAAATTTGGACAGATTATCTTAAAGGGCAATTTAGGAATATCTGTTAAAAATTCAAGATCAAAAAACGTTTGACACTCAATTCTGTTTTCAGGAATCTGTTTTATAGATATATATAATATGTGTATGACAGGTAAGGAACACAGTAATTAAGGCATTATTTGCCTGCTAAGCAAAAGGTTAGCAGTTTGAAATTACCTGCAACTGTTCTGAAGAAACATGTGACAGTCTGCTTATACAAAGATTTACAGCCTCCTACAGTCCCCATGGGCTATAGGCTTTACACCACACTAACCTGGAGAGCTCTGAGCGGCTGGAATTGACTTGATGGCAGAGGATGAACAGTACACATTACATATATAGTGCTATAGAAACTCTGAATTATACACTAGACAAACTTATGTCTAGGTGCAAGAAAAACATCTGGAAGGATATATGTCAATTTAACAACAAAAGGAAATCCTGAAGAGGGTAAAAGATTCTCATGTTGCATTTTATTAAGCACCATTCCACAACGGAGGAGAGGGGAAGAGAATAAATATGAATATTGAAAATAAATAAAAATATTTCATATAATTTTGCCTGTGAGTTCTCTTGCATCTGACCAGAGAACGTAAGACGGCAAAGTTGGTCTCAGTTTCCAAGAGCCTTTCTGAGTTTGAGCATTTCTACACACTAAATGTGGATTTTATGCTTAAAAGCATGCTTTTGTTTATACAAAATCTAACTACAAGCCATCTATTTAACCTAATGCATAATTAGAGAAAACTGTTCCAGTGCTGAAGGAAAATTAGCTGTGTTGGACCTGGTAAAGATCATATGTAGATCTTTTAGCACAGTACTGATGTTAGTAGCTATCAAATCAATTTGGTTTTCAAGTGGAGTTTTGCTAAATACAATTTTCAATTTACAGGCAAACTACAGCACGTAACTGCCTCCTCAGATAAAATCTTACTGCTATACTGTACAACTTTGCTAAAACAATCACATATTAACACTTTTAGGATATTTAAAACAAAAAGGAGTTAATTTTTATTATCGTTTATCTAAAACTCAAAAAAGATGACATGACCTGATGGCACAGTGGTAAAGCCTTGGTCATTAACTGAAGGTTTGATGGTTCAAACTCACCAGCCACTCCAGAAGGATGTGGCAGTTACTTCTATAAAGGTTTAGAGTCTTGTAGGCAGTCATACTGCCCCACAGGTTGCTACACATTGGAGCCACTGATGGTAGTCTGTTTTTTTAAAATACCTTTTAACAAAATGTAGATATACATACCTGCTTACCAGTGAAACCCTGGCAGATAACTTTTGTATTTTTATTGATGTAGAGGTTTTTCCTAGAAGATGTATAGGAACAGTGTCGAAGTCCATTCTGCTGCACTGAAAAGTAAAGAAATTAATGCATTATAACTTGTCTAAACTTTTGAACCTTAAGTTAAACTCAGTGAGGGGGGAAAAATCCTTATTACAGGACCATAAGAATAGATTAGAAATAATAAACAAAAAAAGCATTTTGTTAACTAAGAAACAAAATTTTTAATTCTTACAGCTTTTTTAACTGAGAAAGAAAGATTAAAGGTTATCATTTTCATTCCTCAGAAAGAACACTCAAGTTCAAAGATAAACTTCCCAAATTAAACCCAACAATTGCAAACTACAATCATGTCTACCAATGGTCACTGAACATTTTTCCCAATTGACCCAATCTTTTTAAGCCTAACAACACCTGTAGGTAGTAAAAGACTTACTTTGTCAAGAGTACTAATTCACTCCACAGAAGAATCACGGTTAAAAGGAGGATGTGCAAAACATAATTTAAAATTCACAAACTTTCTGGAGCCATGGAAGCTGGATGAACGCCTAAAATGAATGCTGTTTTGTTGTTGTTGTTATGTGCCATCATGTTGCTTGCAACCTATAGTGCACGCTATGTACAGCAGCTCTTAACCTGTCTTACTAACTCTGACACACCTACCTCAATTGCCCTAGTTACTGTATTAATCCAACTCACCTGGGGTCTTCCTCTTCTGTGCTGTCCCTCCACCATTCTGAGCATGATGTCCTTCTCCAAGGACCAGCCCTTTCTGGCCACAAGCTTAAAGTACGTGAGATGGAGTTTCAAGCTTCAAAATCCTTGCCTCCAAGGAAAAACTCAGTTTCACCCTCCTCCAGGCAGACTTATTTGTTTTCTTGTCAGTCCATGGTATGTTCAAGACTCTTCTCCAGCACAACTTGAAGGTATCAATTCTTCTTCTGTCATCCTTAGTCACTGTCCAGCTCTCTATGCAGCAAATAATTGCAATGACCATGGCCTGTATTAGGTGCACCTTGGTCTCTAGACTGATATCATTGCTTTTCAGTACTCTGGAGAGGTCCCTGACAGCAGACTTTCCCAATTCGTCTTTTGATTTCCTGACTGTTGGTGCCAAGAGTGTTGACTGTGGTGCTGAGCAAGCTGTAATTGTTAACCTCAATCTGTTCTCCATCTCTCACAGTGCATCTAATTGGCCCAGTGGTGAGAATCTTTGTCTTTTTGATCTTGAACTTCAATCCATATTAAGACTACAGTCCTGGAACTTCTGCAAGTGCTTCAGGTCCTCCTCAGTGTCAGCAAGTAAGCTGTGTCATCAGCATAACATAGGTTGTTCATGAGTCTTTCTCCAATCCTGATGCTGCATTCCTCCTCACAAAATCCAGCCTCTCAAATGATCTGTTCTGTAGATCATTCTGATTATGAAAAGGTACAGAGAAAGGACACATCCTGATGCACTCTTTTGCTAATCATGAACTATAAAGTATTTCCTTGTTCTGTTCTTGTGACTGCTTACTGGTTCAAGTATTAGTTTCATAAGAGTACAACAGGTATTCTGGGATTCCCATTCTTCTCAATGTTAGCCTCAATCTGTTGAGATCCACACAGTCAAATGCCTTTGCAATGAAACATAGGTAGACATTCCTCTGGTATTCTCCTTTCAGCCAAGATCCATCTGACAGTGGCTATGTGTGGAGGTAAGTAGGAGGAGGAAGATTAAGGACAGGATTCTTCCTCAAGATTGGCTCTATCTGGAGTCCTCAACTATGCTTCCTGAAATCCTCATTACTCAGCTTTTAACCAACTAAAGAACTGACTGTATGATCCCTGATATGACTCCTCTGCAACTCAAATTCCCACTCACTTCTGCTCCTACCTGATTTATCCAATTACACTTGCCCAGTGTCATTAAGAATGGTATCTGCACTTGCACAGTAAGGCTCAGCCTACGGTTCCAAGCATGAAATCACTCACTTTTATATGCTGCAAGTAAGGAATTTCACTGACAATACAAAGGCCCAGGGTTCAAACCCACCAGGTGCTCAGTGGGAGAAAGATGCACAATCTTTTCCCCTACAATTTACTGCCTCTGAAAACCCACTGGGAGAGTCAGCTGTGACTCAACAGTACATAACAACTATTTCTTAAATACTGTTCTTAGCCATGTTGTTGTTAGGCGCTGTTTCAGATCTGAGTCTTGCCTAATCTTGCACCATACTCATGATGTGATATGCTCATGCCCCATTGATATAGTCACTGTGTCAATCCATCCTGTTGGGGATCCTTCTACTTTTCCTGCAGGATGTCTTTTTCTAAGGACTGCTTTCTCCTGACAATATTCCTAAGTATGTGAATGAAGTTTCACCATTCTTGCCTCTAAGAAGTACCCTGGTTGCACTTTATTCAAGACAGATTTGTTTGTCCTTTTGGCAGTCCACAGATATTCAGTACCCTTCTCCAATACCATAATTAAAAGGTATTAATTCTTCTTCTAGCATCCTTAATCACTGTTCAACTTTCAGATGTATAACAAGCAAATAAAACAACCAGGGATTGGATCAGGTGTCCTTTAAACTGACATCTTGAACTTTAGAACTTTGGTGAGGCCCTTGTCTTGTAGATTTTCCCAGTGCAATGTGCCTATTGATTTCCTGACTGCTGCTGTCAGGCTGTTGATTGTGGAGCCAAGTAAAATGAAATTGATGACAACTTCAATCTTCTCTATTTGCTAGAATGTTGCCTATTAAATTTGTTAAGTGTTCCAAGTTTTTGCTGTAAAAGTAGAGACACTAAGCCATGGAAGTTCAGGAAGACAATCCTGGAGCAGAAGTTCAGAGACAAGGACTTTCCTCTAGAACAAATAGAGAAAGAAAGCCTTCTCCTGGAGCTGGTACCTGGGACTTCAGCATACAGCCTCCTAAACTGTCTTTTTTTTTTTTTAACCTGTCATTTTGTTGTATTGAGAGATTGATCTCCATATTGCTAATTACTTTGTAGTTTAGGTATCTGTATTGTTACATGTTTATCATTATTCTAATTAGTATCGCACTTGTCCGTCAGTTTGCTGCACTGAGGAAATTTGTGGGTGCTGTAATGCTTAAAGTCATGTCAGATATCAGAGGGGTCACCCAAGGTGGAAGGTTTTAGTGGAGCTCCCAGATTAAAATAGACTTGGAAATGGAATTGACAATATAATTCTGAAAAAAGTAGATCTCTGCAAACCCTATGAACAATATAGGAAGATGGACAGATACAGTATTAGAGATAAGAGGCAAGATTGGAAGTCAATCAAAATGAAGAGAAACAGTTGCAAACATCCTTTAATAATTAGAACATGAAATTATGGAGTATAAATGTTGGAAAACTAGAAGTTGTGAAAAGTAAAATGGGATGTATGAATAATGACATTTGACACATTAGTAAGATGAGATGGATGAGATGGACTGGCTTTGAAGACTTTCAGTCAGCCAATGATAAAGCTTCATCTCACATACTTTGGGCATGTCCTTGGAAAGGTAAAGGAGTGGCGAAGGAGAGGAAGACCCTCAACTAAGCGGATTGATACAGTGACCAAAGCTTTGGGCTTGAGTGTGTCAGATATTGTGAGGATGGCAGAGGATCTGTTGTTCATAGGGTTTCTATGAGTTGTACTCAACTCAATAGCCCCTAACAATAACCCTGGTCCATTGGTGAGAATTTTTGTTTTCATGTTGTTGAGATGTAATTCATATTGCAAGCTGTACTCTTTAATCTGCAGCAAATGCTTCAAGTAATCTTCATTTTTTGCAAGCAAGGTTGTGTTATTTACACAATATTGTTAATGAGTGTTCCTCAGACCCTGACGCCACATTCTTCCTCATACAGTCCAATATCTCAAATTATTAAATACATAGAGTAGGTACAAATCTGACACACATCTTTCCTGATTTTAAATCATACAGTGTTTCCTTGCTCTGTTTAGACAACAGCTTCTTGGTCTTGGTATAAATTTCACATGAGCACAATAAATGTCCCAGTATTCCCATTTTTCGCAATGTTATCTATGTTCTGTTATGGTACACACATATGGTACACATAGTCAAAAACCTTTGAAAAACAAATAAAATACAAGTAAACATCTTTCTAGTATTCTCTACTTTCAGCCAAGATCCATCTGGCATCAGCAACGATATCCTGTGTGCTACAGCTTCTTCTGAATCTAATTTGGATTTCTGGCAAGCCCCTGTCAATGTACTTTTCTACTTTTTTCTAAAAATCTTCAGCAAGATTTTATTTGCATATGATACTGCTTTCCCTGATACCTGCTGCGAGGAGGAAGTCAAATGTGCCTTATAATCCTCATGTACTTACTGCCCCAGTTCTTATTCTATGACTCAATGTTCCAGTCTAGTATATCTGCTTGTCCCCTTCAAGTGTGACCCTTTCAGAACCCATTCTCTGGTTTCCTAACCTCATTTTTTAGATTGACCCTCTTATGAGTACAGTATACCTTAATGTCTACCTTTTCTGTAGCTTCAGGTAACATAAACTATACCACTACATTTTACCTACTCGGAGACCAAACCAGCCTCATTCTCCAGTAACTCCATGTCACCACTGTCATCTACAGAGTTCTGGTGGTCTAATAGTAAGGAGTTGTGATGCCAATCCAAAGGCATGTGGCTCAAATCCTCCAGATGGAAGATAAAAGGGCAATCGTTTATTGTGTGATTTACTGGGTCTGAAAACCTGATAGAGGTCAAGCTATTGGTCAGCTCTGCCTCAAAAGTACATATGAACAACAAAAATATGGCCATCTAACAACTAGTGGGACTATTTAAAGGTAATTCTGTAATATTAAGTCACTGTTAAGTCCTAAAACTGTTAACGTCCTTATTGTTAGGTGCTTGCTACTGATTTGACTGAAACGTCCCTGTTTATGTTTCTCTGGTACAAATTCATGGTGAGAAAAAAAAATCAAAGCACTTTATTATTACTTTATTGGTAGAGACATTAGATCAAGGCCATTTCGTACTTTTGAAGTAAAGATCTGGTTCTTTAACTCAATAGCAATAGATAGTATAATATCAGAAATACTATTGTTGATGGCCTCATTTTTCAAATTACATTTAAATGTTTCCTTAATGTTTAAACCAGGCTGATTCAACTTTGAAAACACATGCAATGCAAAAGGAGGTGGAAACTTTGAGCAGAACAGTCACAAACTACCAAGACAGCCAGAAAGTGTCAACTTTAAAAAACGAAGTCGGGGAGCTCTGGTGGCCTAGTGGCAAGGAACTGCAACTACAATCCCAGAGGCTCATGGTTCGAATCCACCAGATGCTCTGCCGGGGAAGGAGGGACAATCTCCTCCTGTACCAGTCAGATCCGATTTGACAGTACACTCACACAAAAAAATTTAAAAAAAAAAAAGAAATCAAAGTATCATACAAGAGGTATTAGCAGACATTCCACAGTGGCAGAAGATCCAGGTTCTAGTATTCCTTCTGATATTAACTAGGAAAACTGAGCCTTTCCAGGTTTATTTCTTCATTCGCCAACCAAAGGACAGTTGGGGACAGTTGGACTTCAAGGTTCAAATTTGAGTATTAAAACAGTATAATTTTAATATTAAAAAACAGTTTGAGAAATTATTCACACAATGGAATACTACACAGCATACAGGAGCAATGCTTTTGTAAATTACTACCTAACTTGGGAAGGACTGGATAGCATTATGCTAAATGAACTAATACAGTTCCATAAGGACAAATACTGTATAAGATTATTACTGTAGAATGAGTATGAGGATCTAAGGGGGGAGAAGGTGTAAACAGAGGGGTGAGGACAGGCAGGGGGAAAGGGTGGTTAATCACAGGGTTGCACAATTTGATGGCTGGAAGGAGGGGTGGGTAAAGCAAACAGTAAAGATCCAGGGTGGAAAAACAATGTATATGAACTTTGTAAATAAACTAGTATAAATAAAAATAAATGAATAAATAAAGGCTCTAATTCCTTATTTCATATGAAACCTGTACCTAGGACCAAGAATCTGCTGTCCAGAGAAAGGGGACACTGCAGTTTAGAATCAGGAAAAGTGTGCATCAGGGTTGTATTCTTTCGCCATACCTCTTCTATATCCTGAGCAAATTATTTTAGAAGTCATGATCTAATAAGAAGAATGTAGCATCAGGATCAAACAAAGGAAAATTCATCAACAACCTGTGTTATGCAGATGACACAAATTTGCTTGCAAAAGTGAAGACTTTAAATGCTTGCTGCAGAAAATCAAAGATTATAGTCTTCAATACAGATTGCATCTCAACATCAAGAAGGTAAAAATTAAAAAAGAGAGAAAAGATAAAAGTCCTCACCACTGGACCAAGAGGCAACATCATGATAATGTACAAAGATTGAAACTGTCAACAACTTCACCTCATTTTGATCCACAGTCAATACTCTTGGTACCAGTACTCAGCAAATCGGGTGATGTGATGTACTGTACTGGTTAAGTCCACTGTACAAATTGGGACCTTTACAAATTCAAAGTCCATCATACAATAAGTGACTGGTACAAATTGCTGAGGAACAAATTGCTGATGTCAGTCTGGTGTGCCTGATTCAAGCTTCGTCTTTTCAATCATATGCTATGTATCTGAGAGCTGGACAATGAATAAGGACGACAGAGGAAGAACTTAAGACTTTGAACTAGCATTGGTGAAGAGTACTGAATATCCCATGGAATGCCAAAAGAACAAACAGAAAAATCTTGGGAAAAGTGCAGTCAGAACGCTTCTTGGAGGCAAGGATGGTAAGCTTCATCTTACAAACTTTGGGCATGAAGCCAGGAAAGGCTATTTTTTAGGAAGGGGCAACATGCTTGGAAAGGGTCAACAAAAGAGAGGAAGACCCTCAATGAGATAGAATAACACAGTGACTTCAGCAATGAGCTCAAGTGTGTCAGAGGTGACGAGGATGGCACAGGGCAGGGCAAGGTTCAGATCTGGTCAGTGTTGCTATGAGTTGTAGTTGACTACTAAAACAACAATTGTATTTATTCTGAAAGATCTAATTTTTAGGAATTATTAGCTTAAATTATCTGCAAAGTTTTGTATCTCTGTAAAACTCCCCTATTTCAAAGTTGCTTACAAAAATCCTCACACTTCTTCAGGGTTTAATATTTCCTTTTTCTTTTCATTTTCCCTCACTTCAACTGATCTCTTCACCCCCCCACCTCCCCATTCATCAGCTATAAAACTGTTTGAGGTCAGGACTTGACTTTCTTAATATTCAGGGTTCTATTCCCCAACAGGGATCTGAGAAGACTGCTTCTATTTCCACACTCAAATCAATATTGCAACACTTGTAACCTTTAGCACATAATTTGCACCACCAATTGAAATTTGAAAGAACACAGGGGACACAATTCTCTAGTGTGCAGAGGTCTATCACTAACCTTGAAGTCACAAATAACTGTCAAAAAAATAAGTTTGTAAAGTGAAGGTGCTGCGGCTGCTGTTTTACTAACAGACATGGAAATGGGCTTGAAAATGTGGCATGATAAAGAGAAAAAGGTGGAATGGTTTTACTGGTTTTTATACCCACTGTAAGCTGAAACCATTTAGCAGATGCCTTGGTTTACACCATAAACTTTTCCAACCCTTATAACAACTTAATCTCATGACTTAGATAACTAAAGATCACTCCAATAACAGAAAGCTAATCTAAATGATCTCTAAAGATTTACTGATCTAAAGATTTACTGATCCTGGAAGACTAGGCAGAGAGAGAGAGTCCACTTCTGTGATAAAAGAACTGTCAGGTATCGTGCTAAAGGCAAGTTAAAGAACATGTTATCTTGTACAGTGTCCTTCTCTAGACTCTCCCCCTCTGAGACGGTAGACCTGAGTAACACTAGGAACTTTCCGAACCTTATGCTAGCAAGACTCCAGGAGAAAAGCGAGGTGGGAGGCTCCTTTGTGGGCTTTCCCACCTCAGTGGCTGTGCGGCAAATCTGCACATCCTAATCCACCAAACCATGGCCACCGAGGGGATTCCAATAGAGGGTGAAGGAGCACGACAGAGCAGACCGGCCCCACGGATGTCCATGATTGTACACTTTCACAGGAGCATGGCTCACCCTCTTCTGCAGAAGACGGGTGAGTTCCAACTGCTGACCTTTGAGGAACCCAATGTTTAGCCAACAGAGCCGCTAGGGTTTATTCTAATCTACATACTGTTCAAATTAAACTGGCTTCATCCAGCATCCAATATCCCTCATTCTTGGTGGTCAAGTTCTGCAGGATGCAGTAATTATTAAACACAATTAATACCTCTTCCCCTCCTACCTAAGAAAGCCTCAAAGTCCTTTATTAAGTATACTGGGAGAACCTCCAGAAAACCTTCTAAACAAATGCAACTCTTTCCCATTGGTCAAAGTTACCTAGACAGCCCTTTATCCTGAAAAAAGCAAACTAAACCACGACAGCTCAACCCCACTGTCATCAAGTCCACTCCAGAGTCTGGGCTCAACGACCACAATCCCAACTTCCATCCGCCAGCTCCCTAAACTCCAAGCCTTGTTCCCCTCACCTCCCACTTCTATAAATGCAGCAGGTCCCTATTACTCCCCAGCGACACCGACCAGGGTCCGCAGCCCCGAGGCTTCAGGGCGCACGGCCCCTTCTCACATCCGGTCCTGCTGAGCCAACACGGCCCGGGCCAGGACTTTGGACCTGGGGGATCCAGGTACCCGCGGAGACCAAGGAGAGAACGTCCCTGCCAGGCTCACCGAGGAAATAGCGAGTCAGGAGGCGGCAGGCGGCGAGGCCACTGCTCCCAGAGGCCATGGTGGCGGCGACAGCAGGTAGGCTGCGGTCATCCGCCAATGACACTCGAAGGCCCCCGGGGTCCTGCCAGCGGGGAGGCAATAGCGAAAGAGAGTGGCTAGAGCAGTCGCCTGAACAAATTACCTTTATTTCCCAGGGAAGTCTTCATGCAGCACTATGGATCACAGATGTAGACTTAAAGATCATCTTAATGTAGGAGCGGACAATATCTTAGTTCTTTCTAGAAAATTTAGGTTTTATTCGACATTAATTAGAACGGCAGCTAAGAGGACACCCCACCAAGATGGGTTAGCGCGTAGCATTCTGGGAAACGTAGTTGGCTGGCCGCAACTTATTTGTCATTTATGTCAGGATTTGTGGGGAGGGGAGAAACGTGAGAGTCAAATTGAGGAGACTGGGAAATGTGAGGGAATTTTTAAAAACCAAGAAAATGGAAATGAGGTGCACAGACCAGTGCTAGGGCTTTCCATGTCCCTATGCCGGTCTCGCTATACCTTCACTTCCCTAGTCTGGCGAATGGGAAGAAACAGCGCTCTTCTCGACCAGTTCTTCCTGACAGCGCCGGGACTCAGGTTATTGAAGACAACAGAAAATCTGGACTTTAACTAGTGTTGTGGAAGGAGAAAGTAGGGACTGGAAAGGCAAAACTGCCTTACAGACAGTGTCTTGGGATAAGGATCTTTCAAACTCTCAGCCTTTGACTAACTCTTAAGTTTATGAGTGTCTCGTTCCTGGGGATACTGGAGGACTTGAAGTGACTTGCTCCCTGATGACTCTCTTTTCACCGCTGGTTAAGAAGACACTTCAGAGGCTCACAGTGTCAAACGATTAACAGAATAAGTCGCCCCACCCCTTCCAAGCCTGTTCCTGGGAGATAATAACTATAATCATTAAAATTTGCCAACTGAACTGTGGCCAAAAACTGAACTCATACAAAATAAATGTCGTAGGATTACCCTCTGGAGATGGCCCAATAGTTTCTCTATAACACAGATATTGTTAGTCTGAGATTTAATTTGTCTGCACAATAATTCCTCCTTGATCGTGTCCTTGTGGTTTCTGAATCAGTAAAAATTAACTAGTAACACAAACTCACTGTCCTAAAGCTGATTCTAACTCGTATCCACTCTCTATTGGGTCTCCAACACTATAAATCTTTATTAGGAATAAACTGTATTCTTAGAAGCCCAATATGTAACCATCTAGTCATAAGGCTCCAAATACACTCAGTATACACAGTAATTTTAAATAGGAAAATTTTACTACCTCCTCTTCATGATGGTTGTTGTTAGGGGTCAGTGAATCAAATATGACTCATAGCGAGACACTGTGAACCAGACTTACGCCATGTCCTAAGCCATCCTCACAATCCCCGACATGAACCCAATCCTGCAGTCACTGTGTCAGTCCATCTCACTGAGGAGCTTCCTCTCTTTCCCTGACCTTTCTAAATATGATGTCCAAGGAATAACCATTCCTAGCAATATGCCCAAAGTATGTTAGGTGAACCTTTGTTATTTTTGCCTCAGAAGAACACTCTGAACGTTTTCCAACAACACATACTTATTTGGTTTTTTGAAAGTCCATCGGATATAAAATACTCCTCCAAACACAGTTCAAAGGCAACAGTTCTTATTTTCACATCTTTAGTCATTGTCCAGCTCTCAGTTGCATAGCAAGTAAGCGAAAATACCATGTTCTGAAATCAGGCACACCTACTTTTTAAATTTTATTTTTATTATGTTTTTGTGTGTGCCATCAAATCAGATCTGACTGGTACAGGAGGTCCCTCCTTCTCCAGCTGAGGATCTGGTGGATTTGAACCACTCACCTCTGGGATTGCAGTGCAGCTTCTTGCCACTAGGCCACCAGAGCTCATCAGGCACACCTACTTTTGTCTTCAAACTAACATCATTGCACCTCTGTAAGTTGGAGAAGTCCTTGACTGCAGGTTTTCCAAGTGCAATACGTCTCCTGATCTGAATGCTGGACTGAGGGTGTTGATTGTGGACCCAAGTAAGATAAGTCACTGGCTCTTTGAATCTTTTCTCGATCATGATGTTTCCTATTGGTCCAGTGGTGAGAATTTGTGTTTTCTTGATTTTGAGATGCAATCCATATTGAAGGCTGTATTCTTTATTTTTCTGAACCAAACGCTTCCTCACTTTTAGCAAACAAGGTTGTATCATCTGCATAATGAAGGTTACTGATAGTCTTCGTTCAGTTTTGATGCCACATTCTTCACAGGCTCCAGCTCATTGAATAATTTGCTCAGCATGCATATTTCTGTTTTATTCACTTAGTATAACATGTGATGTCTGGGATAAAGATTGGTGGCTCTCTGTATGATCTTAATAAATTTGTAATTCCATGAAGACAGGAATTTTTGTTTGTCTTGTTCACTGAAGTATCCCTAAGACAAAGAGAAAGGAATGGGTGAGCTGAATTGAATTATTATGTACATACTTATGTATTAACGATGCCGCTATCTGACATTTCATATTTGCAACCATTGTTAAGTGTCATCAAAACAACTATAGCTCAAAAAAAAAAACAAAACAACTATAGCTCGTAGTAGTTCTATGAACAAAAGATCTGAACTTTCCCTTAGCCCCCTCTGGGAACATGGTCTCCAGCTACCTCAAATGCAGACACATAATCTTGCAAATCATCAACAGCTGTGAAACCAATTTAAGAAATATTTTCTACACTGCAGAGAGAATGTGAAGAGACTGTGGCAAGGTATTGCCTGACAGAACCCTGGAGATGGAGAAGGGTTTGCTTCTGGATGACTAAAGACCTGTAAGAACAAGTTTTGTTTTTTTTTTTTATGATTGAGGAACCAGTGGTTTATTTGTGCTCTTGAACTGAACCTAGACTTTCACTTGTTGACTGAGAAGCTGTTTGAACTAATTGAGAAACTGCACCTTGAATCTAGCTTGCGGCTGCTATTCACTAAACCTAGACTTTCACTGTGTGATATTCTTTGTCTCTTTACCCCCAAATCTATTTCCCTAATAAATTCTATAACTGTGAGTAAAGTTTGTGAGTCAATTCGCATCAAACATTAGACCCAATGGTTAATAGAATTAGGAGAAGAGCATAGGAGTGGTGGACATGTCTTACAATGTCGTGAGTTGTACCAAGTAATCTGAAGAAGAACCACCTGGCCAGCTGACTAGACGAGATGGATATTTATTCCCATTCCAAAAAAGTGTGACCTAACAGTGTAGAAATTACCAAACAATATCTCTAATATCACATGCAAGCAAAATCTTGCTAAAAATTATCCAAAAAGAACTGGATCAATCGAGAACTACCAGAAGTACAGACTGGATTTAGAAGAGGCCATGACACTAAGGACGTTGCCAATGTCAGCTGGATCTTGGCTGAAAGCAGAGAGTACCAGAAGAATGTCTGTGTTTCATTGACTACACAAAGGCATTTGACTATGTAGATCACAACAAATTATAGCTAACCTTGAGGAGAATGGGGACGCCAGAACACCTGATTGTGTTCATGTGAAACCTGTACTTGGACAAGGAAGCAATAACTAGAACAAAGCAAGAAAACACTGCATGGTTCAAAATCAGGAAAGGAGTGTGTTAGGAATGCATCCTGTCTTCATACCTTTTCAATGTGTATGTGAAACTTATCCTTCATGAGGCTGGTCTTTATGAGGAGTAATGTGGCATCAGGATTCTCGGAAGAATCGTCAACAACTTGCGTTACACAGATAACACAACCTTGCTTGCCAAAATTGAGGAGGACCTGAAGCGTTTGCTGCAGAAGGTCAAGGAGTGCAGTTTTCAATATGGATTGAAGCTCAACATCAAGAAAATAGATTCTCACCATTGGGCCAATTGACAGCACCATGATCGATAGAGAAGAGATTGAGGTTATCAACACTTTCAGCTTACTTGGGTCCATAATCAACACTCTTGGAATCAGTAGCCAGGAACTAAAAGACAACTTGGATTAGGAAAATCAGCTGTCAGGGACCTCTCCAGAGTGCTGAAGTGCAAAGATATCAGTCTAGAGACCAAGGTGTGCCTTGATACAGGCCATGGTCTTTGCAATTACTTGTTATGCAGCAAAGAGCAGGACAAGAAATAAGGATGACAGAAAAAGAATTAATGCCTTTGAGTTGTGATGCAGGGGAAGAGTATTAGACATACCATACACTGCCAAGAAAACAACCAGGTCCGTTCTAGAGAAGGTGAAACCAACTTGCTTTCTGGAGGCAAGGATTTTGAAGCTCTGTCTGACACACTTTGGTCATGTTGCCAGAAGGGGCCGGGCCAGTCCTTAAAGAAGGGAATCATGCTTGAAAAGGTGGAGGGACAACGCAGGAGAGGAAGACCCTGCATGAGATGTATTGACATGGTGACTGGGGTAATAGAAGCAAGTGTTTCAGAGACAGTGAGATTGTCTCAGGATAAGACAAGTTTCAGAGCTATTGTGGATAGGGTTACTATGAGTTGCAAGCAACTCGATGGCACATAACAACAACATGGATATCATTGGTAGGGAGAGTTCCGCTTTATAAGGCAGGCACGAGTCAGACCTGGCCTTTTCCATGTTACCACTACTTCTTTTACACTTACCCTTCACCATTCTCACTATTTCAAATGTGCCCAATTCCATTATTACAGCTACTCTGTCAAGCCATCTTGTGCAGGGTCTTCCTCTTTTCTTCTGACCTTTCTCAACATAATGTCTTTTTTCTAAAGACTGGCCCCTCCTGACAGCATGCCACAAGTATGCAAGCTGACGTTTCACCATCCTTGCCTTTAAGAGTAGCCTGGTTCCTTCACATCTCTTTTGTATTGCTGAGGGTTAGTGACCTCTGAGGAACCCTGGTAGTGCATTAAACACTTAGGGGAGACCCTCAACCAGGTGGATTGACATGGCAACTGCTGCAATGGGCTCTTGTGTGTCAGGAAGTGTGAGGATGGTGCAAACAGAACAGGGTTCAGATCTTTTCAGAGGGTCACTATGGG